AAAAAAAAAAAAAAAATGTTTTTTGGCCCAAATCAATTTTTTTTGGACAAATCAATTTTTTTGGACAAATACTGCCTAAACAATATATTTTTTATTTAATAAATTTTATTTTATTTTTAAAAAAATAAATGAGCTCAAAATAACCTATTTTTGAGTTTTTTTCCAAAAAAAACCCATGCTGCCAAAAAATGCCTGACTGTTGCAGTTGAACTTAAAAAAAAAAAAAAAAAAAAAAAAAAAAAAAAAAAAAAAAAAAAAAAACGTTTTGGCAAAGGAAAAAACAAAAACAAAAAAAAATTACCCCTATCGGGCTTGGGCTTGCGGTATTCCGCGACCCAGATTGAGAGCCCATGTGGGCCCACCCAATTACCGCCAGCCCGTTGCAGCATGTTTGGTCCGATCACTCGCGAAAAGGGCCATTTTGCGAGCCCGATGTGGAAGCTCTTAGAGCTTTATAATTTTATATTTTTTAAAAATTGAAAATTAAAAAATTGTATAATAATTTGAGTGAAAGTTTTTGAAAATTCAGTTAAATGAAATTTTTTTTAAAAAAAAACATAATAATAATAGCTTACTTTCCGTTTAAGAAAAATCGAATCAAACATGCCCATAAGTTTTGATTTTCTTCTATTTACTTCAGTTCATTCACATAATCGTGACACTTTAATTTAATTTATGAGATGAATTTCATTTTGAGTTGGATTCGAGTTAAAGGGTCAATATTTTTTAAAATACTTTGAAGAATTAATTTTTGATAATCTTTTATTGTATATTTATGTTCATTTTCTTAGAATTAATCTCATCAGAGGAGCATATTCAAATTTAAAACATCAGCCTCCATAAATAACTGCTCTAATAATCCCTTTTCTGAGTAAATTTTAGTTGTTTTATAATGGACACTAGTTTAAAATTATAAAACCCCCATGTATTATTAAAAATAAAATAAAATAATCTTATAACTAATAAAATTTATCATATTACCTCATATTGGTGTTAATTGGGTTGTGAAATAAAATTAAAATACTGATAATTAATTAGTTTAAAATTACAAATTTAACCATCCATGGGATCCATTCCAATTGAAAGTAAACACACTCTAAATTAGGTAGTACACTCAATTTCAATTTGGACAATTACCGGCATTTTAATGGTCAATTTTTTTCATTTCACAATTCAGTTAACATGAATACTGGTTAATAATAAATTTTGTTAGTTTTGGAGGGTTATTTGATTCTGTAGAGGTTATATGTATATTTTTAATAGTACGCCTTACGATTTTACCCCTAAATTTTAATAAAACTTTGCAATTTTTTTTTTTTTGAAAAAAAAAAAAAAAAAAAACTGTCAAGGTTAGCATAAGATGATCTAAGCCCTTACCCAGAGAAACAACAATAATAATTGGACTCAGATGTTTTTGAACCTACCAAGGACCTGCCTTCATTGAACACTTCAAACTGCTATTAATGGAAATTCAAGATCATTGTCAGGATCACATAACAGATATAGAACACCATATTGGCTTTTTCTCTCGTATCAATTTGTTAGCTTCGCTCTGATACTACTTTGTTAGATATAATGGCTTAGGTACACACAATACTCAATAATATTTGGAAGAGAATGATATGGAGAAATACTTAGTAATTATTTTATTCCACTTCCACATGAATATATAGGCCACAATCCACATAAACATAAGTGTAACAATTACATTTAAGTGTTCAATTACTCACACTAACAAAACCTTTAGGCTTAACTACCACTACTCCCACTAACATAGTATTTAGGAGGTTTAATTCCCACGCCTCTTCATTTTACATAACCTTCACCATCAAGACTATTTACTATACCCCACTAACATGAAATGCACAAGTGAATCATGTGTACCAAATACTTTAAAATACTAATTAATACTAAAATTCTAAAATCAAGTTTATTTCCAACACCCCCTTTAAACTTGATTTTGTAACTTGAAAGTAAACTTCTTATTGATCTTGGGGGCTTAATCAAAAGTTTGTTAGTTAGTCATTAGTTTCACTTCCTTCAACTGCAACAATCTTCTTGGCCATTTACATGGATATATATGGCTTGTGAAAAATCTTCAAATGCTTGAATAATGTCTTCTCGTGATCAATTTTTATCTTCTTCACACAAGCACTCCATCCGTTTCTTTCTTCTTGAATTTTGTATGGCTCTTCAACTTCACATGTGCTTCTTCTTTTAAGTCAAAAAATAACTCCGTATTCACCTAACGTGAAGATGTTAACTCACCAACTTCATCAACTTTTGCCTCTTCTTTAACATTTTCTTCTTCTTTAATTTTTCTAATATGGAACCTGGCTCTAATACCACTTTGTTGGTTTTTTCGCTGATATCAATTTGTTAGTTTCGTTCTGATACCACTTTGTTGGAAATAGTGGCCTATGTGCACACAACACTGAATAATATTTTGAAAGAGAATGATATGGAAGAATACTTAGAAAATTATTTTATTTCACTTCTACTATTATTTGACTACATAACCTTTAGGCTTAACTATCACTACTCCCACTAACATGGTATTTATGAGGTTTAATCCCACACCTTCTTGATTTTACATGACATTTACCATCAAGACTATTTACTATACCCCACTAACATGAAATTACCATCAAGACTATTTACCATATCCCACTAACATAAAATGCACACTTGCATCATGTATACCAAATACTTTAAAATACTAATTAATACAAAAATTCTAAAATCAAGTTTATTTCCAACACACCAGTAGGTTGACAATTATTGGCCATAAAAACTTCTAATAAATAAAAACAAAAGGACAACAGATTCTACATCTCTATAAACATTAGGGGTGAGTAAATAATCAATCAATCCATCAATTCGGTCCGAACGAATCCGATCCGTGTGGTTCGATTTGGTTTTCAGATCGCATGGTTCGGTGATGGTTTGAAAAATCTGTAATCCGGTGTCCGCGGTTCGGTTAACGGATTGGACCATGAGAAATCCGATCCGAACCGTTAACCAATCCGAACCGAACCGTTAATAATCCGACGGTTCGGTTCAAATCGGTTAACGGTTCGGATCGGATTTCTCATGGTCCAATCCGTTAACCGTTACTAAATAGTATATTAATATATTATATATATACACAATATATGAATATAATGATATATCGTATTTTTTTTTTCTTTATTCATTATTTTTTAATGTTAACCTAACCCTAACTCAGCGTCTCAGCCTCGTCTCTTCATTACGACATTTCAAGTTGTGCCTGCCTCACTAACTCCGCCAGTCAGCCTCTTCTCTTCTCCCAATCTCTCGCCTCTCCCAATCTCTCGCCTCTGTTACTGTGAGTCTATGTCTCTATGACACTCTTCGCCTCTCCCAAATTCCTAATCTCTCGCCTCCCAATCTCTCGTCTCTCAATCCTACACCTTTCAAGTTTCAACCATCGTTCACCTGATTCGAAGCAACGGCGACCTTGGTGTATCGAAGAAACGGCGACCTGTTCGACTGGATCTACCTCTTTTCCGGTGAGTTCACAAGATTTTTGAATGAATCTACTTATTCTCCTCTTCTCTGAATAGTTTTTACATAGATCTACTTAATTTTATGATTTTATCTACATATATATGTATAAATGCATATTTCTAATTTTTTATGCTGGATCTTTCTTCCTCCTTTTTCAGTTTTTTGTTTATATGGAGTGTTTGGTTGCTGAGAAAATGTTTTAAAAAGGGAAAATTTAAGTTTCATTCTTTAACTTGTGTGTGCAATCAAACGAGAGGTTAAAGTTGCTTTGATGCGTTCTTTCTGTTCGTCTTCTCTAATATTCTGCATCTATTCTTGGGAATTAAAATTTTAAAAATTATAGATAAAATTGTAGATGAAAGTTTCTCTGTTCTTGGGAACAAAACAAGTGCATATGGAACCCACCAATAGTAATACGTACTCTGTAGTGTGCGGTACTTACTACTTAACGTGTTATGGTTATAACATCTGGTGGTATGGTTTATACAGTGTCTCTCATTATAGATAAATTTTTACCTAACCACAATTTCTTCTTGTATGCTCGTTGAGCTTTTTCGTCCTTTTATTTATATGTAAATGAAATCTTTACTGTTGCTTCGGAGTCTGCTTTTAGCACTGGAGGTCGTGTGCTTGATCAATTCCGTAGTTCTTTAACTCCAAAGCTTGTGGAATGTTTAATTTGTACACAAGATTGGTTACGGGCTTCACCAATACCAATTGATGTTGAAGAAAAGTTGGACGAACTTGAACAATACGACTCTGGTAAGTGTTAACAATTTGTTACATTTTTATTCAATTTATAAATAAATATCATATGGTGGATTTTTAATTAAATTATGTTATTTTGTAGATGTGACTACAGTTTCAGATTCAGATTGAGAGCTAGCCTTGCTTGCTGCCATTTTCAGACTTGATATGCTACCATTTTCAGACTTGTTTTACTGCTAGTCAAGACTGTTGTTTGATGTTTTATATTATTTTCACTTCTGGATGATTTACATTTTTTTTTTTTGTTATTAGGTAATTTAAGTTTGTGGTGGTATTTATAATTTTATATGTGCCAAATACATTTTGAAATTTTAGTGCTGTAACATAAATCTATTGTTGTTATAATTGAATGGGCTGTTGTAATTGTTATAATTGAATGGGCTGTTATAAATCTTGTCGTAGATTGAATAAATAAATTTTGATAATGGGCTATAATTGAATGGGATGTTTGAAAAGCCCAATCAGCCCAATTCGAGGAACTGATCCGATCTGGGCCATAATTGAATGGGCTGTTTGAAAAGACCTAATCAGCCCAATCCGGGTACCGATCCGATCCGATCCGTTAACTCACGGATCGATTTGGTTCAGATTGAATACCCCCACGGATCGGTTCGGTTTCAGTTTTAACCAATCCGTGGGGACCGATTCGGCTAGGGATTTATCCCCAAACCGAACCGAACCGTGATCAAGCCTAATAAACATGTAGAAAAACTTGAATTTGTATATTCTGTACTGTAGGTGAACAGTAGTCAATTTTACAATCAAATGATCAGGAAACTAAATATACGAAACTTGATACGGTGAACGTACAATCGGGAGCTACTATATATTTCTCTATGGATGGAACAAATGAATACAGTGGATGCAATGATATATGTAAAGAACGAAAAATGTGAAGAAATACAAAACGGTTTCTAGCTTCTAAAATGGCAGTGTCATTCTTACTTTCCTTTCAGAGCTGCAAGCCGAGCTACAAAATCATCGTAATCTAATAGCTTAGACTGCCCGTGCCCCACTGGGTTCAACATATCTGGTTGATAGGAAGAAGCTCGAACATGTCCTTTCGGTGCCTCAGTTACACTAACCGGTTCCTGAGGGAAAGACTTTGCTCTGGCTGGAGGACAGTTCCTCGTGTCATTACTGGTACCAGCAGCAGCATGCTGTGAAGGAGGCTCAAGAGCTATTCCCAGCTTACCCTGTTCATTGCATGACTGTTTCATGCTGTAACGCATCAAAAGCCTGTCCGTCACTCCTTCCTCTTCAGCCTTTTTATCACTACCATCCTCAGTTAAGATCTTTAGGCCCCTTTTTGCATCTTGTTTCATTTTATCCGATTTCACCTTCCCCAACCCATCAGTTTCAACAATACCAGCATTGTCATGGGCTGGTGGCAGTTTACTTCGTCTACTCCTAACTGATCTTGGTTTTGGCTTGGCTTCACCAGCCAATTTATCCTGGTCATGATTATCTTCCCCTTCAACATGACCACTCAATTTTGCAGCTCCAGTCCCTTGCATGTCATTATCAGCAGGAGGAACCTGCAACATTGTTTCATTTTTGCTAACTTTCGGTTTGACATAAGGAGGGGGTATTATCCTGTGGTAGAAGGGCATCTTGTCATCAACTTCTTCCTGGGAAACACTTTTAACCGAATTCACAAAATTATTCCGTTGCCCATTCCTGCCCGCATCTGCCACTCGAACATCTTTACTAGGAGCAATTTCTGTTTCTTGAAACTGAATACCTGGATTATCTTCTTTATGGGAAACATTTTCCCGGTGGTCATGCAGTTTGTATTTATCATTGTTGACTTGTTTGCCTCCATAAGATAATAGGTGGTCCTTGTCCCTTTTCGGATCAGTATAATCCCTCACATTGTTATGTTTATTCCCGGCATGATGGTTGTCTATCTTCCCAAAAGGTGTATCCCCGGTTTTGTGTAATTTGTAATGATCATCATTGACATTTTTAGTCCAATCCTGCAAAAGATTGAAAAGCTGCAAAAATTATTAGATTTGGGAAGATATTATTAGAATATAAAGAAGACATAGCTTACAAAAAGACCAAAACAAAAAACATGATTCCATGTATTATTATTATTACTATTATTTTTCTTAGATGTGTTGTATGTTGAAATGCTGGATGAAAGGAAACTTTGCCTCCTAATAGATCAAAACATTATAAGCTTGAATGCTCAAAATGCTTTCTACAACACAGCATTTTTATGTTGAACTGATATTGTAGAAAGGCAGGACTTGGAGTAGAACCTCCCTACTCAAACCTCTTTTGGTTTTATATATCCACCATATCTTTCTACAACACAGCATTTTTATATATAATTCCATAGAAAACATTTAAGGCAAACCAGACTGAGTTGTACTTAACAAGCAATATAATAAGACTTGTAGTCCTAGACTGCACTTTTCTAGATATTTCCTTTCCAATATGAAACTAATAGTTAAGAAGATGAATAAGCATACACAGAATCTTACTTGTTTGGGTGCAGGTGGATTATACAGCCTTTGTTCCAACGCCTTGGAATCCCATTCTATACCGAGCACAAGTCCTATATTTTGCATTAATTGAAGCTTCATATCCTTTGTAGGAGGCACTGACTTCAACTTCTCAACAAACTAAACATAAATATTTAGGCCATCAGTCAATATATACAAACATACATACATACATACATATATATATATATATATATATATATATATCATGGATTTATAATATACATATATAGAATTGTCCCACGTAAGAAACTATTTATTCTCTGCTTGTAGTGAAACTATGCATAAAAATACCTCTTGATTGACATAAGAGTCGATGGAACTCCCATATCTCCCAGTAAATATACTCCTAAGATCACGCAATTCTGGCAAATCAGCGAATCTTGCTGCTGCAAACATCAACGATGATACAGCTTCCTTGCATTCCTCAGGGCATTCTCTATAGGAAAAACAGTCGGGAAAAGATATATAAGCATCGTACCAAATAAGTAAATTTTGCAAGAGAGAGAAAGAACTCAACAAATTATACAAAGTTCAATCATGTTAAACCTCATAATGAAGTATTAAAACAATGCGACAACATTAGTCATGTCAGAATAATTGTTGATACTAAACTCTTCGCTTTTATCCGCATAAGCATGGAACTTAACTTTTCCTTTTGTTATAAGCATTTTATCTATCATAAAGCACAACAACCCTGACTATATGCCTCAACTGGAAGAAATGAGGAGGAAACAGAAGCTAGTCATATAAAAAGATAAAAACTTGAATTGATGGCAACAATTCACATATTACATGTCCAGATACAAACAAATTACTCTGACAAACACAATTCCCATGAATGGATAGGAGTGTAAACAGCGCAATCTAATAGAAATGAGGTAAAGGCATAGAAGGTGGACGTCACATAGAGGATGATTATAAAGATTAACGAGGGTTAATATTATAGAAATGATGTGCTGCAGTAATATTTGTTCTTGTGGTCTATGCGTCTCTTATTTGGCAGCTTCCTGGTTTCCACCATGGGAAACATTTAAAATAGTTATAGATTATTTTTCTATATTTATACAGGACAACGTCTTCAGAGAGAGAGTAGTTAAACAAAAAAAAAACATCTTCAGAGAGAGAAGGGGGAGAGCAGTTATTCAGCAAAGAACAAGATAAATAGTTAATTTTGCATATACCTCTGTTTATTCATCAATGAAAGATGATTTAAGATACACCCACAGAAGTTCTCAACAAAATCATAGCAGCTTGACATATTCAGCTCAAGCAGAAGCCCTTCCACCTGCATCATCATTGACAAGAAATTAAAAGTTATAACTAGCCCATGATAAATGGAAAGGCTATACATGTTTGCATGTGTAGACATATAACGAGAACCAGTAATCTGAATTCCGAAGCAAATCTTTTATTCAAAGCTATGACAGTTGATGTAAGGGCCCCTGGTAGCATATCGGCCATCACGACCACTGCCTCAATTAGATCTGTTTCATCATGGATTTGGCATTGTATAATCTAGCCAGTTGCTTAGATGAACTTATGCTTTCAACAATGCCTCCATTCCAGAAGCACAATTCTTTCTTGCTTGAAGTTTACGAGCTTGTGTTTCTCTTATGAAAAGACCATGATCATTTCTGGCATATGCATATAATATGTTCCTTTATCAAATTACTCTGACAAACACAACATTCGGGACAAAGAAACGCCTACAATCAGTTGTTATTTATAAACTCTAAGATAGAAGACACCTATGTACCTATTCATCAAAAGGTAAACTATTCATATATTAGTATTGAGTTACGAAAGAGTTTTGATAATCTTTGAGCTGTAACAATTCCCAATCATTGATAATTCAGACGAACACAACTATAATTTGGATGCATCCTAAGCGTCCAAATAAGTTAACCTCCAAAAAAATGTGGGTGCTCATTAAACCCACTGCAGTACAATACTTGCTTCGTGCTCTAAAGTTCAAACGCCTCCAAGCCCATATACTTCATTTTTTTCGTTCACCTACCGTAATGTCAAAGAAGTGACATGTTATCGTCATATAAATGGACCTGGAACAAAAGTTTCAAGCGTCTACCACCTCAATGCCAGACACAAATTTACAATAATCTGCCCCACTCAAATTGTGTATCCATGTCTTGCCAAGGTTATAAAATTAAAAAAATAAAAATAAAAAAGATAAAAAAATAAAAAAGGTGTATTAATGACCTAAAAATTTCCACAAGTATTCAAACCCTAAAATTAGAATTCGAAATGTACAACTTCACATGTGCTTAATGGAAAATTTCAGAAATTAAAAGTAGATTCCAGTTGTGTTTTAAATTCCCCATTTCAAGTTTGGTATTCATAGTTGAAACAGTACAATCAGGAATTGCTTGAGACCCACAAATCTAATTCTCTTATCTTAATCAAAATAGACCTTAATTAATGCCAAATTCAGTATGTTCTAGGGACATTATCCCATGGATTTCATGTATAATTATTACAAATTCAGATTGAAAAGGGCTATCAATTCATGAAACATGGCATGAACAGCTAACATTGTGAACTACTAATCAACATAAATAATGAAAATGAACCATAAGCTTCAAATTCTTGAAAATCCCATAATAATAATAATAATAATAATAATAATATATAAATCAACATATCACTTAATTAAAATGCTAAAAGAACCCAACATACCCTGCTATAGGCAGTCATATCAAGACCAGTTTTCAGAAGATCCGCAACATCATTCCTCAAATATTTCTGCATTGCATTTCTCTTCCTTTGTATCATTTCGATTCGAGTCTTCGTCAGCTTGATCGCTGACTTGCTATATTTAAAATAAAATTAAACAAAAAAAAGGTTATACAAAATTGAAAATTAAAACCAGATTACTATAACAAACTTGATTAATTAAACAGAGACCATACGAGTTTGGAAGACTGAGCATTTTTGTGTAAGAAAAAATTGAAAATTAAAACCAGATTACTGTAAACACATTTGATTAATCAAACAGAGACCATTTGGAAGAAGACTAACCATTTTGTGTAGAATTTGCTTCTTATTACTCTCTCAAACATGTTGATCTTCAAGAAGCTCTGATCGTATATTCAGGATCTGAAGATTGAAACAATAATCTCAGAGCAAACTAAATTAAGCTGTTTAGAGAGAGAAAGCAAGAAACATAGAGAGAGAAATAAATGAAGAACCTTTGTATCAAGAATTAAAGAAGCTCAAACAGAATGGCAGGAATCAATGTAGTTTTAGTCTTTTAGAGAGAGAGAGACAGAGAGTTAAGAAAAATGCAGTGGATGTGCTTAAATCGGCGCTAAAGCAGCACGAGAGTAAAGAAATGTGGCAGCTTTTGAGAGTGAAAAGCAATAACACATATATATATATATAATGTTATATATATGTGTGTGTGTGTGTCATATATATAATGTTATATATATGTGTGTGTGTGTGTTATATATATAATGTTGCTTTGCCACGTTCGAACCTATCTCTCTCTATAAATTATATGTGTATGTATAACTGCAAGGAGATGATTTTACGATATTAGCCACGTTTGACATCGACTAATCAGTGGTTTGCCCCGCAATGTTGGAGCATTTTAGGAAATGAAAGATGTGAAGCCTCTGGACTGTGCATTGGCGGGTTCGTGAGAGAGATGATACTACCCGCGGGAGACAAAACTCGAGGATCGAGCTGCTGATTTGGTGAATTTATTTTCCCGGAATTTAAGGTGAATAAAATAAATCTACTTGGACCAAAAAAAAAAACAAAAATTCTTCTTTTCCTTTTTCTTTTCAAAAAAAAAAAAACCTATTTGGATTAATTGGGCTAATTAGGGGCTACTTAGAGAAATTATTACATCGTCTCCAGTTCTATCATCACTTGACACGATAGGTAAACCCTTTTATTTTAGCTATTAATGATTTAAGATCATGTAATAATTTCTTCAACTTGATCGTCCACATAAGATTTAGTAGAGATAAGTTTTATGTAAAAATAAAATATGATATATCATTCAATTAATATATTGAATACTTACATCAAGATTTGAGTAAACCTTAAATCTCTCATTCAAAGTGAATGTTCTCACTTATTGTAGATCTCTTTTGCTAGATGTGTTCTTGGATCTCTATTTTCTTGGTAATGGTTTGACATTTAGGAATCACTCATAAGTCTCCATGAATCATCTTAGAAAACTACGCTTGTGGGAGCCTCCATTAGATGAGAAAGCAAACCCTAAAATCTAGGGAGAAAAAATATATATATTCTTTTTTCTTTTCTAAAAGTCTCCCTTAAAATATACATAAAACCATATATATATATAGGCAACATAAAAATAAGAAAAGGAAAAAATAAATCATTCTCTATCTCTAATTCACATATCTCAAATCTAATAAGATTCCAAAATCAAGTTGGGTTATGAGTGAGAATCCTATTGGGCTTATTATTTTATTGGCTACAATGAATTAATAATCAGCCCAGTCCATGGACCCAATTAAATTAATTCATTAATTAATTTTTACTCCACTAAAAGAAATTAATTAAACTCCAATTAAATAATAAATAACTTCTAAGTTAATGTTGCACTTTGACTCCTCTATGCATAATTAGTTATCGGATAAATAAAGCTATCAATCCGACCACTTAATTAATATATTTATTTTGGTACATTTGATTATTTCTGACTCGATCACAATAAAACATTTATTTGACAAAAATAATAATTTAAATAAATAAATATATAATAAATCATTTTGTCTAAAAACACACAAAAGCCTTCGAATTTAATTTGTAATCAACCATAATCAATACAAAATAAATACAAATAGTATTAATACAAATATTGAGAATATAACGCTCTAACTATTAATTATATAATTATCCAAAGTGTCGGTCTAAGGATCCCGAAGTATTCGCCGAACAAATCAAAGTAATTATTAATTAATAAAAGAGTCTATATTTCTCTCATGCTTAAGAGTCAAATGTCATGACAGTGATAGGGAGCAATTGCATACGACGGCTCTCGCAATATATCTCAACCTAACGCGAATCCAGTTCAAGTATTAACTAATTATGAGTCCATCCATAATTACTAACTATGAACCATTTATGATTACTATTTATATATTTATGTATTGATTGCCATCACATACATATATGTAAATATCTCTTGCAATTAAATGGACACTATCAATTCCATAATGAATCGAAATATAATACATTGAATTTACCAATTGCATAAAGTATAAATATTTCAGATACGTCAGGAACATATATCACTTTAATCCAAACAGAAATTTACTATGTCAGGCATATAAATCCCAACAGTTATGTGTGTGTTCTATTAAAAGTCTGGACCGGATTCATTTGGTGTTGAACTAAACACTCTAAGAGAAGAGAGATTACGTAGTGTATAAGAGTTCTTGTTCAACTAAACACTTTAAAATGAGAGACGTCATATTAAGTTTATTCAATTAAGTGCATTTTATAAAATAATTTTAATATTATTAAAAATGGTAAGCACCATTTAAAATAGGGTTAAAATTTTAAGTGGTGTGACCGAACTCAATTAAACACTGGTGGCCTACGTATTCAATAAGGGAATTCAAGTTGAACGTAATTCTTAATATTAGGTTGTTTTCTAGTGACTAAGAAGAGTAGTTTTTCAGTGCTTTAATCAATGATCTTCCACTTGTCTTTGAAAATTCAAAAAAGAGATATAAAAATTTATTTTTTAATTATCACTTAAAATTTTCAGTAAAAATCAAACTTAGACTCAATAGGGTGGAGAACACTTTAAAATTTGACATTTTATCACTCGGATAAGACCGCTACACCTGTGATCCAATAATTGAGCAGGAACAAAAGCAAACTAGAGACTTTCGCTCGAGTCTTGACATTATTTACATAAAGCATGAGGAGCCTTTGTTCCAATAATTTACAAATCAAATTTTTATTAATTATTGCAGTAAGGAAATCATAATAATTGGCAAATATATTTTGTTTTTATTGCTTATTTTCACTTTAAAAGGAGAAAAAAAAAAAATTGTATTTCTTAACAAGAAATATTGTCACAACACCCACACACACACCCACACACACACAAAACCACCAAAATGAGTTGGAATTGAATTTCTTACATTTTGTCCTGACTTCCAAGTGAAATGTAGATATTTGGTGCCTAATTGCTTGTCTAGTCTTACATCAATGGATTGATGGGTTTCTGAAAGGAATGTAGGATGCCATAAAAAAAATTCATTAGTTGTTTTTTTTTTTTCTATCTAACTACTCATTTTTCCACATTAATTTATATCTAACTACTCATTTTTCTTTCACTTTTATTTTTCAACATTAATTTCCATCTAATCAGATGTAAATGCCTTAATCTATATATAATAAATAAAACTTCCATTCTGTTTTGTTTAATGTTATTTTTCGGCTGTTTGGTTGAGACTTGCGGGAGAGAAAAACAAAGACCTAGAAATTCATTCAACTATTCAAGGGTTATTTTAGTAATTGAAACTGTCATTTGTTGTTGCTTTTGCCTAGTGCAAGGAAAAGGATAAAGGAACAAAGGAATATTTTGGCGGGAACACAACGCTTACCTTTGAGAGGTCCACGTGTAAGGACCAGGTTTCTTAGCGCCGAAGAGTCAAGTTGACCAGGTGACTCAGAATAGAGAAGAAGAATCGTCAATCACGCTAGAGAAAATACAGCTGTAATACTTAGCTGTCAACAGGTTTATTCATACAAAAAGTGGTGCCAGCTGTGCAATGCTTGCACACCAATCCAGTGGTGCTGTGGGCGGCTCAAAGGTTAGGCATGGCTAAGGAGGAGGTATCCAGTGTTCACGGTGTACCGTGCATCGGGTACATAAATATCGCGAACAAATATGGACAATTTAAATTGACAAAATCGTCCATATTTGTACGGAATCAAAACTACATTTTTAATTTTTACATTGCATAAGAATTCCCCGGAATTCTCAAATTATTAATGGCACTAGTTTACCAAACTCTTCCTTGTATTGTTGCATTGGTTGGCAATACAAAAGACTCGGTAAATAAAGACAGATAAGAGAGGAGCCCACCACATTAATGCTACAAGGAATAGAGAGATATTGTGTGCGCTAGCACATCGTGCACTATACTTATTCCCGAACCATGAATATTACAAGATGCATGATGCGTGATGCCCCAATACCTTATTTGTTACAAGAGATGACAAAACAAATGCAAATGGCTTTTTGGTAGATGAGTGCACTAACAGCTAATATTAAATACAAAAAATGTAGTACACGAACAAATTTGTTACACCATGCGCAAACAAAATTTTCAGGTAATACAAACCATGTGTAGGCCTACTATGATAGTTGACATCAAATGACTAAAAAGCCGTGTTCCTTTCATTTTCAATGCTACTGTGATATGTTTGTACATTTCTGTATTGCCCCTCTACCAACTAAGATTTTGTCATGCATCCAAATAGTTATTTTTGAAATTTATAAACAATCAAATATTTGGTGAAACTTTTTACCCACTCTTTTTAAAGGATTAATCTTTAATGCATAGCCCGGTCCGTGAATTTGTAAATCCAAGCCCGCCCAGGCCTTAGTCGCTCAACCGCATTAACCATCTAACAAACCCAACCACCACCTAATGGCTAGACTTATTAGAATCATTATTCATTTTATTATTGTGTTACATTGTAGAATCAAACATTTAATTAATCACGTAAAGTCAATTTAAATCTACTCATGAACTATTTCAACCTTTATTATAATAACAATAATAATAATAATATATGATTAGTGTGGTATTAGTACTACGGTGATACTCTTGGTTAGTTATGTGATTTTTTAAGATATAATGAAATTTTTAATCATTCTATATATATATATATATATATATATGTTTTAAATTTTAAAAAAAAAAATAAATAAATAGCTAAACAGGTTGTTTCACGTTACAAGTTTAAGTAGCAATTAGTATAAACGCTTTTTCTTACTCTTATTCGAACCATAAATATAACACAATGCATGAAGCGCCACACCCCCAATACCTTATTTGTTACAAGACAACGTGACAAAACAAATACAAATGGGTTTTTGGTAGATGAGTGCACTAACAACTAGTATTAAATACAAAAAATGTAGTACACGAGAAAATTTTCATGCGTGATAATGAAGAGATAGATACGCCCGTTACACCTGACACAAACAAGTTTCTTGCATAGTACAAACCATACGTGAACGTACTACTATGGTTGACATCAAATGACAAAAAGCCATGTTTCTTTCATTTTCAATTATACTGAGCTATGTTTGTACATTCCATTATTGCCCCTCTACCAACTATGATTTTGTCATGCATCCAAATAGTT